GAGGGCTGAAAGCCCTATGAAGCGGTATATAAGTCTAACTGCTATTGCTATTGCTATCTCTGTGACACATACTTTTCAGTGTGCACATCATCTCTCTGCAAAGCTAGGGTGGGCAGGATGGCATTGCATCCAGCTTCTTTCAAGAATGGGAGGGAATGGACAGCAGAAAGTTTAAATCCACCTCACAGCTTTCTGGAAAGCAAAAAAAAGCATAGAGGTAAACACACACACACACACACACACGCACACACACACACACACACACGTTCTGAACAAGGCTTCCCCCAAAAGCACGAAGCAGATTCCTGGTCCCAACCTAACCCCTCTTATTAAACGAATGTGAATTCCTCTCGTTCACATTCAGCAGAGGCCTGGTAAACAGTCTTTCAAAGGTGAATTTATGACCACAGACCTTATTGGAAAGCTGCCATGTAAATATTTACCAAACGCAGTGCTATACAAGGAAAGACTTGACACAGAGTCTCTGAGATTCACGGGCAGATCTTCACACTCCTGAAACAAACTAACAAACGAATTGTTTCCTGCAAAAGCCCACTCCCCTTTTGCTCCTCTTTTATTTCCTATGGGAGGGGCCATTTACCGTCTACCCGTGGCTTTACTCCCAAGCCAACCCTGATTTCTTAGCTGTTCTTCTGGCAGCTCTGCGCATGCACACACTGGGAACAGGCTCCAGCTGCTCCTCTGCCTCACTGCTGTCAAGTTCCAAAGGCAGCTGAGAACTGCCAGACGGCCTTGGCCCCATCTCTGCCTCCAACGCAGAGCCCTCGCCCAAGCCTTCCCCAGCCTCCAGGACTGGCCCATGTTCCTCTCCAACCTCCTCACTGCCCGACTCTGCTGGCTGCTGGCAGGCCACAACAACACACAGAGAAGCATGCCGCTTTCATGAATTGGAGCTTGATTTTGTGAGTTTGAGTATATTTTTGCAGACTGGTAATGGTGATATATACAAACCTGACTACTGATTTCTCTCGGTGTGTCAGTGAATGGGAGGCAGCCAAGGAGTTAGTAGCAGAATGCAGTACAATAAAGAATTCTTGACTTTATGCTACACAAACCTTATTGTTTTTGGTGCATTGTTCTCCCTCACTCTTTATTGCCATGACAGTAATCTTGGTCTGGATGGAATATTATCCTTGGAGTGTTCCCTGGTGGAGAGCTGCTAATTTTATCAGTTGTGCAGCTGCTCCTTTTCCCTTTTGTAAGGGATTTTCTGGTGATAAGGAAAACAAAAGAGTTGGACCAATTGGCTGAAAAATATGTTCCACTGGAAGATAAAATAATCTGGAGTTTTTGTAAAATCCCACCAGGGGTGGGGATTGTACTATAAAAATATTACCTGAAAAAAATATTACCTGGCTGGTAAATGTGCATGGTCCATAAATGTGGACCTGATCTTTCCATGCTCCAAATGTGTGGACTTTAATCCCCACAATTCACAATCCAGGCTTTCAAGGTTTCGCAATGTGCATGTCGGGCTCAGGAAGGCTGCCATAAATCACAGTGCTGAGTGAGGCTCATGCAGTCTCCAAACTTTGTCCAGTACAAATGAAAATAGCAGACTAGAAGCCTTTCTCTGCCTGTCTGCCAATCGGTTGTTTTGCCTGAATCCGAGAAGGAAGTGTGTTTGCGATACCTATCTTGCAATGGCTTGTGATGAAACCTCACTCGTCAATTGTAGGCGTGTAATTGTACGTGACTGTGTGCAAATAGCCTNACCTAATGAGAAGGAAGGACTCACTGGAGAAGAGCCTAATGCTGGGAACGCTTGAGGGCAAAAGAAGAACGGGATGATAGAGAATTAGGTGGATGGATGGAGTCACCGAAGCAGTAGGTGTGAGCTTAAATGGACTCCAGAGGATGGTAGAGGACAGGAAGGCCTGGAGGAATGTTGTCCATGGAGTCACGATGAGTCGGACACGACTTCGCAACTAACAACCAATCTCTCTCAGCATCACTCACCTCACAAGGTGGTGGTTTTTGTGGGGAAAAGGAGAGGAAGAAAGAGTGTAACAGAATAACACAATTGGAAGGCATTTTGGAGATCTCTTAGTTTTAGGTAATTTCAGTATGTTTCATCATTTTTGTCTTGCATTTTTTTACTGGGCTGATTTCAAAATATGGTATTTTAAATATTTGTTTTATCAATGTAATTGGGTATTTTTCCTGTTAAGCCTTAAGCTACTTTAAGATACCCCAAACCATGGAAATAAAGAAATTGCCAGCTAGCATTCCAAACATTGATGATTGAACAAATACAAAAGGAAGCCCTAAGTGTTTCGATATGTATTACCAAAGGTAGAGAAGTGAAAAAGTTTGCAGATATGCATATTGGGCAAATTTTGGTCTA